GGAAGGAGAGGTAGGTCCGAACAATGTCCATAATTTTCGGGTCCCTTAGACGGGCCTTCAGGAAGCGTTGGTCGCCAGTTACGGACTGTTCAGTAAGTCTCACTATTGGCGGACGCATGGGGTCCAGAAGAGGAGGGTGTTCTCGCTCAGTTGGTTTTTCAGTTCGATAAGGGTTAATAGTTTCCCCTTTTTCGAAATTAATGAAATTTAGTCCGCTTTCTTTGGGTGGCCGAGAAAATTGTATTCGTGCAGCAGCCAAAAGTTCTTTATCCAAAGGTAATGCAGTGCTGTTGTAGAGATGCCTGCTTCGGGTCCTGTTGTTGTTGATGTTGTTGTTATTGCTGTTGTTGTTGTTGTTGTTGTTGTTGTTGTTGTTGTTGTTGTTGTTGTTGTTGTTGTTAATTCTGGAATTCTTCCTTTTAAACCAAGTAAATTCCATTGAATGGCGAGTGTTGTTGAAGTGGGAGATGAACAAGAGGAAAGTTGGTTATCGTTTGGGTTGGGTGAGCTGGCCATTGTTAGGTAGTTGGAGAGGTAAGACAAGAGTTGGAGGTTTCGGGAGGCTCGCCGTTGTATAAGTATTATAAACGGTATTATCTGGGGGCTTCTTAATGGAGGGAGGGGTTATTTCAGTAGTGTAGTGGCGTTTATGGGAATTTTTCGAGCATTGCACAGAATGAAAATTAGCATTGGAGGTGTTGTCACTTACCTTACCGGTCTGTTGTAGGCTGGAGTCGATTTCCATGTCCGTTTCTTCCAGTGTCCTGTCCTGTTCTCGGTTTAGCTTCTTCGTGCGTTTCTTTTTCTTCTTCTTTTCTAGTTCTTCGACTCTACTGGAAAGCTTGGCGACGGTTTTCATCAGCATTGCTCCAATTGCGTTGTTTTGATGAACATTCAATCGTTGTTGAACCTTGCTGACATCGGCGTAAGATCCGGCTCCCGCATTGAATTGCTTGCATGCTTTTTCGTAACTGATTCCTTTGGTGACTCGAAGTTTTGAGATTTCCTTCTCCGCCAAGTATACTGGACACTTCCTGCTAGACGGTCCGTGATCACATTTGCAGTTCAGGCAGTATGCTTTCTCCTTACACTCCGCTTGTAGATCGTGAACGTTGGAACAATTTCGGCATCGAGCTGCAGTCTTGCAACGAACTTTCTTGTGTCCAAACTGGTTGTTGGTTCAGGAACATAAACACTAGTATTGATCCGCAACGGACCAATCTTGATATACTCAGGCATCTTTGTTCCCTCAATGGTAAGGGCCACTGTAGGGGTGTTGACTTTTCCTCCATCCTGCATACGGGTAAAACGTTTGGCGCTCACAACTCCTTGAGATCTTAATTCCACAACCAGCTCCGCTTCGCTAAATTCCTGTATCTCGCGACATGAAAAAACACAATGCCGTTTGTTGAGAGTGGAATGTAGAATTACAGACACTGCCACATTGTCCACCAGTTTCTTCATAGTTATCAACTTCTTCACTTGGTCCACATTTCGTACTCGTAGCACACATTTACTGCCATCTGCTTCGGTTTTGGCTCCCTCGATATCACCGACTAACTGATCCACTGATTTTCCGACCACGAATGGGTTGAGTTTCTGTCCGTCAATGGCCTCAAGAAGGAGAATATTCAGCTGACCGAATTAACCGTTATTCATCCATTCAAATGAAACATAATATTCTACATAACTCGAGAACTAATCAAGCAACTGGAACTAAATTTGGCATGTGGAGGTATAAGGAGATGGTCATAGGGGGTAGCTCTTTAGATAAGAGGGGGAGGGGCTACGTAAAATAAAGCATGCTTTTTTTTTATTCGTCGCATACATTCCAGCTAATATTATATAAGAATTAAATGGCATTGCTAGTTTTATATAAGAATTAAATGGCATTGCACACTTTCTGAGTAACTGCTTCCAATTCATCGGGAGAAAATCACCAGGCAGATCGCTTGGGTAAAACCTCGTTGCAATGGTCGCACTGTGCAACTATCAAAAGATTAACATAATTTGACGTTTAAATTTTGACAGGAAAGTTTGCCACCATAAATCTGATCGAGCTAGGATCAAGCAAAATGGCTTTAGAACATAATTATTAAGCTGTTAGCATTAAAAATTAACCGAAAAAAGTAGAAGGGTCTGTGCCTAGGGCACGAACGGAAGCTTGACGTAGGACCGCTAGTGGACGGAATAAATGTGAAGAGCATTTAGTTCTTTTAATTGATCAATTATCTATTATCTCAACTCTTTCCGTTTTTGAATTGTAGGCGTACCAAATATGTAGTATTTTTTTTTCAAAGAGAAAGTTGTTTAAGAGAATCAATCAAAATCACTTGCACCCCTGCTTCCAAGTTTGGTTACAAGATTACAACTCTGGAGAGCATTTTGTGTGGTCGTTGGGGGCTTATGGTTCTGAATATGGACAATCAAGCACAGATAAATACTATTCCAACTCTTTACTGATGTAAGCTTGATTGCCCTGAAAAGGGCCGTTTTATTGAAGAGGACATCTATGGCCACTTACGCTTGGCGTGTTTAGAGTAGGAGACAGCATCACGGATCTCATTTTTCAGGAACACCTTCAGCACACCTCGTAAATCAGACCGGAGATACGTCAGACACTGCCACGGCGAGCTAGACGACGGATGGTGGTTATCTCGAAGAATTTGCGTTTGGTTCTGAATATGGCGATGAGTGTGCAAAATATTACGCAATTCCATCCTCCCTATTCGCACGCTCCCGAAGATCGGAGGCGAATGCCACTTCGACTTGTTTCGTCTAATTACTACTCTCTGACGACTGTGCTGGGGAAGCAGCATATGCAATTGGTGGATTTGTTAGTTAATTCGACGCTTTTGGACAATGCTGGACATTTACCAGTTTTTTAATAGTTTCTTGTTGAAAATCAACATTCGAAAGCATTTTTATCGGTGCGTAGCCATATTTCTGATCGATTGGTGATAACATTATTGAAATAGGACCAGGGGTAGCTGAGTTATTAACGTTCAAAATCTTTCTTAATTTGTTACATGTTCCATTTTCGGTTTTCACAAAGTGTACCCCCATATAGAAATCAAAGACGTAGTCCTACGTCAAAAAATTGGTGGGGTTGTGTACAAGACACCACCGCATGGTTGACGAAGACTACGTTGAGATATTTTGTGAACTTCTCGTGCATTTTTATAAACTGATTTAAAATACAGTAGAAGTCACTTATTTCCTCAATTTACTCCATTTCCTCTCCTTGACATGCCAATTTCTTCACCCTTATTAGTTATTTTTCTGACTGTTTCTGGACTTTCTTTTAGGCATAATTCTGCATATGAAACACTTGTCTGTAATCCTCCGTTATGAAATATATTCCCCGTTCACACTTTAATGCCCATTCCATCTCCGTTGAACATTTGTTATGGATCACACGTTTAACCAAACGCTTGATCGCAGTGGGACACCTCCGGTGGGAAATCGTTCACAAGCATCCCATCATCCCAGCCCAAGTAACATTATTGAGGTTTAAAGCACTCAACAAGTCTAAATCATGGTCTACAGTACTCTCATAAAACCCAAATTGTTACTTGGGAGGTAACCAATAAGCCCGCTAATTTGGATAGATTTTGTTATATAAAGCTAGCATCCGACTTATACAGGGCTTTGGCGCATTATTGGTCGGATTAGTACTAAGCAGGCTTGTTGGTTATTTTCCATCAGCATAATCGAAAATTTGATATTCAGAGTTGTGCTTTCACAAAATTAGAAAGTTTGGTCCATGTGACCCTGAGTAATCATAATTTGATACTTCAAGCAATCAAAAGTTCCTCCATCAAAGCAGGATCTTAATTCTAAATGTTCATTGGAAAGCACACTATGAGGAACTAGAACTAGAAGCATTAAGAAATATATTTCAAAACTTTTTGTCATTGTTGCATTTACACAAAGAAGCTCCAACCCATTTTCAGAGGTTTAATTTTTGTTGGTCCGAGCTGAACACAGCACCAGCCAGAAACGCGCTAGTCCACTTGGTGCATGAATTTTGTAACAAACAACAATGTAAAGCTCTACTTACAGATTTAAATAAATTTATACCGTACCTCTGAATCCCACTTCAACGCAGGGACGGCCCAGAATCATCAAAATTTAGTTCGCCAAACAGAATATCACGAACACTAGCGTGTAAGTTCATATGATTTTAACAGTTCTTACAGTAATGCATCTGTAATTTGTATGCAACATCCGAAGTCTCTCCTTTTTTACATATTCTGCACAAAAAATACTTTCTAAGCCTCGCCCCTGACAGGATTTCGCACCGTTTTTTTTTAATGAATGAGGCGTCCCGCCTAGTGCCTAGTATCTTTTGTGCAGAAGATGTAAAAAAGGATGGACTCCAGATGTTAATCTAATTGCACATAAAAAGGTACCAGACGTTGGCAGTTCCGTGCGCCAACTCAATTTAAAGCTCTAGCAAGTACCCAATTTTGAGTTCTTGTCATGTAAACAGGATTGCTTTCTTTTTAGTAAAATATAAAATATAATAGAAAAAACATAAAATATAGTTCAAGTACTTTTAAGTCGTCAAGTTCAAACTTCTCAAAATTAAGTTTTACACAACTTACTCAATTTTAACTTGGCGCACGAAACTGTCGAGTAGGGTGAATAGAACTCAATTTTGGGTTGTTTTGCTCTTTTCGTTTTTTGAAAACAACAAGAGAGTAAGTGAGAGGCATCAACTCAAAAGTAAGTTTAAAGATCTCAACCGTTGAGTAGTTTTGGTTCTCCGTACGGTTATCAAAAGAGAAAGTCAATGAAGAGAATCGATCAAAGTAACATTTTTAAGGAGGTTTCATTGAACGTTTCATATTTCCAATAACCTGGTGTATGCAGGAGACAAAATGACGCCTAAAAATTTACGGAAAAAATAACCTTCCCAAATTACATCATTTTTATTCAATTCTTCATCAGAAAACTTAACCACTAATACAACCCTATTAGCTGGAAGATGAAGCTCAGCTGTACGTCTTCAGCTTGAGTTGCGTTTCGCTCGTTCCACTCGGATGTCGCGCCTTGCAAATTAGCGTCTTACCGTTGTCACTGGCTTTCGCCACCCGCTGGAGCACCTGCTGCGTGGTAATCGTTCCCCGAGAATTTTTCAGCTGAAACGGTGCCGAGAGGCCTTCGTAGATCAGCTGATCGTCCAAGAACCACAGGAAACTGGCTGCTGGCCTACCATCCCGTGCTACGCATTCGAAGACCATGTCCGAACCGACCTTGAAAGCTCCATCGCTAGTTAGGATGTCACTCGAAACCAGCAACTGCGGAGGGGATGGCTTCACTTCAGCTTCCTTCAATCCAACAGCTTGAATCTGATTTGCATTTTTGGTTGCTGGTAAACAAAATCCTCATTCAAAAAATTGCGTCTCACCATTAAAACATTCGAAACGAAACATACTCTTCCTTAACTTGATTTCCAACGCGGCTTCGATGAATCCATTTGGATAGCGTTCATGCTCAGCACGACACACCAGCCGCTTCCGGTTGTCTTCCACGGCGACCGGTTTCCGGTAGAACTGCTGAACCGTTGTCCTGCGATTGGCCGTCTCCGCGAACGCCGCTCCCAGTTCGTTGGAAATCGGTTTTCCATCCATGTACCACGACAACTTAGCACCTGGTCGGCCGTCTCGAGCAATGCACCGCGCCGTCAATGGTTTTCCATAGTCAAACTCACCGTCGCTGTCGTCCACGTTGCTGGAAACTTCAATCACCGGAGGCTCTGGGGCAACGGCTGGAATAAAAATAAATAAAATAGATCGCAGCTCAATAAAGACAGTTCCAAACATCCACACCTTCACCCTGAACGACGATGCCGATCGTGCCAGTGTAGCTCTTCCCCGCGATCGAAAGTGTACACTCAAAAGTGCCCTCATGTTCGGCTTTCACCGTGTCCAATGAAATTCCACAGGATCCCTTGCTCCAGCCTCTTCCGAAGAATCGGATTCCCGCCACCGGTGCTGGCAGTCGTTCGCTGCTTGCAAAGGGGGCTGGCGCTCCAGGAACTTTCACGATGCAAAAATCGATCGGTTGACTTCCGGGCGTTTCACACAGCAGGTTCAACTGGCGCTGGCCCTCGGTGGCAATCACACTCTTGGGGGCTGTAATCACTTCGATTGCACTGCCGACGGCTGGAAACGATGCTTGAATTAAATCACCTTCATTGGCAATGGAAGAAAAATATTCACAACTCACAGACGAATGCAATCAGCACTATTGCTGCGCAGAACTTGATCATTTTCAAAAAAAAAAAAATTAAATAATGTGGCACTACTAATTGGCTGCTAAATGCGAAAACTATGCTACCGTGGCAACGAACGGCACCGTACTGAATGGAGATTCACGATCCATCGTTTGCTTTTAAATTCTTTTCGGACAGCGAGGATCACTTTCCGAAGATCAATCAACTAGCAGGGTCGCGCTGCCACCAAACTATGGCTTTGGATATGACATTTTGGTGATTAGAATTTTGCGGAATGCTGGGATGGCAGATGTTCACAGGGTCATTTGGATCTTTAAATCTATAAATCGTAAAACCACCAGTGGAAGCTTTAGTGATTCCCAGAATCGCGGGTGTTTACATATTTACATGTATTTAATTATTCAACAGGGATATAAGTATATTTTTTGGCATACATTTTTCTAACAGTCCCCTAAAGTTTTGTGAGCTCTAGAGCTTAACAGTTCTTCAGAAAAATGACTACATCTTCACGATTTCCACTGTTCTCCGATACTTGTACTATTTCCATGACAGGCTTTCGAACTCTTCTTGGAGTGTTATCCAAACTTATGAAAAAGGTTCATCTAAATGCTTATGTGGTAATTTATATCTATAATTATCTCTTATTTTTTGGGTTAATTTGGGTGACTTCCAACCCAGATGGACAATTATTGTTTAATGCCATCGGAACATTTTTTGCATGATTTCCGGGCTTAGAAACATAGTTTACAAGGTAACAAAATGTCTAAAGTTTGTTCAAAATTCAAATTTATTTTGTGACTCTAAGAACACACACACAGCTTATTCATGCAAAAATATGCTTCTCAGCTAAAAATTGGCTTATTCAGCTTTTAACGAGTTAACATTGTTTGTTGGTTTGGGTACTCATATGGCCGTCAGAATGGTTCATCGATTGCGAAGTGAAGTATTCCTGACAGTGATGCGTAATATTTGATTTTATCCTAACGTTACCTCAATTTTATAAAACAGACAAACAGACACAACATATTGAACATTTATCACATTTATCACTGTAGTGTGTAAACGTCAAATGCAAGGAAATTGATTATGTGCGCCACAACTGGCGGTACTATCAACTAAGAAACATTTAAATTGATCGCTAAAAGCGATTTCGATGAACATCTTAAGCATGTTATGTCTGCTTATCTGTGATCATACCTTCACTATCGCAACTCCGGGTAATCCGCGAAAGTGTTTGCATTTTTCTCTGGCACTTTTGATCTAACTGCAATCACTCTCTCATACTCGAAATATGCAACGATCAAATTGGCACAACGACGCCCTATACACTCTCTGACCAAAGCGCGGGGTATTTTTCTACATGGCTGTTCGCCCTAAAATGCTACGTAATTTAGGAATCTTCCCTCATCATCTTGTTATGAACCGTCCATGAAGTTTCACTTGACGATTGTCCAATATTTTCAAAATGGCCGTTACGTAATTATTTTGGTAAGCACTAGTTTGGTTTCTTAAAACTTTCACGTAACTTTACCACAATGGAAAGGCGTGAAATTAGACCAATACAGCTTACGGGCCATTGAATAACTACGTATGCACATAGCATGTAACGAAACCTGTGCAAAGTTGGACTGTAAACTGAACCAAAACTCGACCGTTTCATGCTTTAGAATTTGATTTTAAAACTTATTTTTCACATGCATAATGTCAACAATCACTTGTTCAAATGTTCAAATATTATCATTGTTTTCGAAATTTCTTAATTTTAAAACTCTTATTTAGCTATTGCAATGTTCACATACCGCAATACTTGAGAATTATAACAAACTGTGATATAATCTATCACCCTTAGGTTGCGTCAATTTAGAAAATCACTTGAATCAGAAGAGTGAAGAAGGCGAGTGTGAGTAAGGGTCCATGCATTAATTATGTCACGCTAAATCGAGCAAAAAATTACCCCCTCCCCCCTATCGTGACGTTTTTCCTATATCTAATGCATTGCTTGTCACAAAATCTTAGAGAAAACCAGTTTTAGCTTTTAGCCAGTTAAGCTTAGTAGAATTGTTCACCTCTACACAATGCGTCACTAACATTTTTTTTTGTGATTTTGTGATTATGGATTATTTATGACTAAATGGACCCTACGAAGTTATTACTTTAATGTGTAAATGTGTAACAAGCTATATTAGAAATAGGTCCTCGCCAAATAATGAATTGATCAGACGCGAGCTTCTCCATTTTGCATAAAAATTTACATAATTGTTTGTTATGGCAAATAATTCACATTTGAGCAAAAAATGACGTTTTCGAATTTTCCATCAACTCATAACTCAAAAACGTAATTTTAAATTTAAATTACGGGCCGTCCATTACCTACGTAGACAGTTTTTTGACCCCACCCTTCCCCTGGGTAGAAAATTTCCCATACAAAAAATTAATAATGTTATATGCAGGGCTGTCATCTTATCACTCAATGCGCGCGATGTACTGATTTTCTGAAATAAACAAAGTGAGAATCAAGCAAACACACAGTTTGCTTGCCTTTCACCCTGCACAGGTGTAAAAGAGGCGTAGAAGAGAAGACATACACACACCCATACATAACATAAGCTCAATGTGTAGCCATCGCTCCGACGGCTCCGACGCAAAGAGCGCCACTCAGCGTAAGGTTGCAAATGGGAAACCCATCAAAAAGACAAAATTCTTCTTCGTTATGCCCTTCTTCATCTCCTATGCATGCAGTCGTGGTAAGCAAAGTCTGCAAAGAATTCAAAGAAGGCATTAGCGCTTGTTGTATTATATTCGCTCCCTGCGCCGCACGGAGTGTACCGCTCGTTGTGTAGATCGCTTTCTCACAGATTAGGTGCAAAAGAGTGTGCGAAGTAAATGGGAGAACAACACACTCTTTGTCGAGTGTTGTGAGATGCATGCACAAAGTTGCTTTGCTAACGCTCTGAGGTGCTTTCCAGGCCTGGTTATATGGGCCGTGGATAATTGCCGACCCCTCCCCCTAAACTGTCTACGTAGCTTAAGGGTCAGCCCCTTGTATCTGTGACAAAGTTGTAGGAAAAAATATTTCATTTCAGGAAAAATACACACGTTAAAATAAATTAAGCAGTTATAGGTAAATATTCCAAAACAGTTATTGAAAGTAAATAATTAAAAATTACCGTTTTCAATATTTTTAAGTAAAAACCTAACTCTTGTGAAATTTTTAAGATTAAAAATTAAAAATAAACAACAACTTTTGGTAAAATTTTCAAACTTACTGTTTGAAGATTTTTTTTAAAATTTTGCAGATATCTACACTCTCGTTATAAGTTTTACGACACCCCCAAAAAACATGACAAATTTATTATGTTCCTATCTCTGTCATGTTACGTCCAATTTTCGTTCTCTTTAGATCATTTGAAAGGTATTGAATGAAACTTTCCTCGTAGGCAAATTGTTTAATATAATTTTCAAATTTTGTGTGCTAAAAGTTCACCCAAAGTTACAATATTTTTCAAAGTTTACTCTGAAGAATCGTGACTGATTTTCTCAGAATTGGGTTGGCCAAATTTTGAAATAAAAGTAGTAGTAGAATACTTATGCTACACCATTCATACCATTCAAATAACCTTTGGAGATCGAAAATTGAACGTAAAATGAGAGATCATTGAACAAAACATATTTGCATGGTTTTTTGGGGGTGTCCTTAAACTTATGATCGGTAGTGTATTTCTTAGACATGCATAACTGTTTTACAGACAAAATGTAATAACAAAAAAAAAATCTATGATATAATCAACAGTTGTTGATGTATGATTTTTGTAGATTTATAAGTGTCTAATGTTGATTTTTTTCGTGAGTCTTTTAATAAAAATGTTCTAAAATATAAAAGAGAGCCGTTTTTCGATATTTTAGTTTAATCTATTTTTTATTTACTAGATTAATTTAGCGGCTGTGGAATAGTTCGCACACAGTAATGAGCAAATGCGGGCGCACACTTTTTGCCTGTAGATTTTAAGACATACTTCAAATCTCCGCGTACATCGTACGGGTTAGGAAAAAGGTGTGCGTTTGACTTTTTACTGTCGCATTAATGGCCTTTCGCTCATTTTCAACTTCTATTCAATTTTCATAATGCCGTACTCTAACGGAACTATCCACCTACCCTCTTCTAAAGATCATTCTCTAGCTAATAAATTATCACACTAAAACTTAGAATATTAGAAAACATTTCCAACCAACTTTGAAAATCGCGAACTTCGCGTATGAAGTAACATAAAACACTTTGAAAGCATAACAAGCAATTATGCAATGTATCAGTCTATAATTAATTTTGTTTTTGCAATTGGACCTGGAAATGCTCATATGATATTTTCCTATCTACAATCGTTATAAGGTTGATTTAGGTAGATGATTTTTGGTTATGATTTTTGTTATATTACGCAATTTAAATTGTTACAACCATTGTATCACAAATCGTTGGAACTACATGACACAAGATACAATTATCTTGATATTCTCTTATGTTCGGGATATAGCTTGATTGTAATCAGCTCGCTAAAAAACCTAAAAATAGGGTAATCGTCCATTTTGGGCCTGTAGAGCAGAAAACATCAAATAAATCCATGATTTCAGAGTTAACAAGTCAATTATGTATTTGGTACGATACTTTAGTTAATAAGCTACTGAACCGAGTTTAGAATCCCTAGGCCGAGTTTGGCGTCAAGAAGCAGTGTTAGACTTTTGACAATATCTCAACGATTGGTTTCTCTTTATCAAATCTTACGGTACTTACGGAAAGGTAAATAAATTTGGAAGCCATCAGTAATAATAACATTCCGTTTGGTGCTAAACTGCACTAGATTAAGAAAGGGTAAGTGCGGGTTGTGCTTAATAGGCCGGAAATGGAGTAGTTAACCCTACTTACAGGGAGAGAGTCATTCATACAATCAAATCCGATTTACTGAATTGTTTTGATACATATAAAACTTCATTAAAATCGATCTGAATCCAAACTCTCATCTTTGATAAGCAAAACCCTTAATAAC